CTTTCCCTAATAAACAAACAGAGGAACACAAAGTATCATTCTGCTTTCATTCACTGCGCTTTACGTTGTAGTGCTTCCTCAACAGTTGTTCGCTCCAATCCCCCCCTCTAGCGGCTCCATTTGATAAAGACAAGCACTTGCATTTATTAATGCCACAAAAAGCCAAGATGAGTAAGTGGCAACTAAAATATGAAAGGTTTCCATAAATCTTCACATTTCTTCTAAGGCTGGGTTCCCACGTACAATTAATTATATTTCCTCTTTGTGCAAGTGATTTATCACTGCAGTAATGACGAGATCCAGAACGAAGACTTGGAAACCGCAACATTCTGCATACTCAAATAGCCACTGGCACCAGTAAGCACCTAAGCCTGCCCTGCATCAATAGCAGTTAATTACGCAGCCACGGTAGCTGTAAGAATCAAAACGCCCCGCTAGTTCCCAGTCACAGAGCAAAAGAAAACTGTTGGTGCTCAGTTGATTGGGACATAGGATAGATCAGGTTGGAAGGGACCTCAGGATGCCTAGTCCAACCTCCTGCTCGAGCAGGGCCAGCTGTGACACCAGACCAGGTTGTTCAGGACTTTATCCAGTCAGGTCTTGAAAACCTCCAGGGATGGCGCCTGCACAAAATCTCTGGGCAACCTGCCCCACTGCTGGTCTGGGGGAAAAGTGTTTCCTGATCAGTGAGAAAGTTCCTCAACACATCTGGAAAGCTTATGATTACAGCGCTTGCTCACATACTTCACTGAAATCTTTATAGTCAACTGTGAAACATCTTCTTGCACTATCATGTATTTTAGGTGCAGTGTGACAACAGGAAAATACTGACACAGATCATCCCCCTAAGAAGCACGACCGCTGCTGTATATATCAGCTGAAGAAAATAAGCTTGCCATGCTGGGATTTTATATATTACATCATAAATGCAGTGCATATAAAAGATACATATATAAGGGATATACAAACATCAGAATTCATCAGCAGAAGTAGAATTTTTTAAATTGCTAAACTAACATGAGTGTTGAGATCACACACACTTCAATTTCCTAGCCATTAAATAATCAATGTCACTTTAGTGCTCCATTGCTCATTACTTTTTCTAAAATATTTGTAATGGAACTGTAACTGTAAACTCAATTAGCTTAAAGCATGAAATTTGTTTTCAATGCATCTTTTCTTTGTTAGCAAGACAAGAATACATTAAAAAACCTGCATACTCATTTTATTCTGTCAGATCACCTCCATTTTTAAACACGCATAACAAAGATACTAGTCATTAATTTTTCATATTTCGATAAATATGCTTAATCATACGCTTTAAAAAATGGATATCGTTGCATACACTTCAGATCAATGAATTTAAGATACAAAAAAACTTTAGCGGTGACTTTTCAAAAGATTATAATACTGCCATCTTTCTTCTTAAAGAATGCCAGACTCCAGTACCTCTTGACTGCATTACTATGGTATTACTGCATTTTTGTTGTTATTTAAAATAAAACCAAACTGAAAATTTGCTTTAATAGAGATGACCCTTAAAAAAACAACACAGAATGCAAGCATTCAAACCATTACCCTAAGATCCAAGATGGTAGGTTTATTCCTGGATAGCAGTAAAGGCCTATTTCACATTTTCCTTGCTGATCACAGTGCTTTTGAAGGAAAGCGGTTAATTCCATGGCAAGCTTAACCACCGCTGCATACGTGTAGAAAGTTGGAGGTTTGTCGTTGCATTCATCAAACCAAACTGCTTTTCTATCAGAGTACAGGCTAGCTGCCTGATTCACCATTTCCTGAAGAGTCATCTCAGCTGCATCTCTTCAATCCCCCTGAAAGATTAACAAACCAGACTGCATTGTCACCTCCTAACTTTTAATATTTTAGTCAAATTATATAAGCACACAAAACACTTCCAAGTAGGAAGAAAGATACTTGGCAGAAAACACACAGCTTCACCGCACCATATATTGCAAAAGTGTGAAGCTTAATACTTCTATCGTTTACCATGGGTCTCATCCGAGGGCCCAGGATACAGTAATTCACTAAGATTTCATTGCACAGAGGTAGTTTGTTCCTCACCACTACACCTTTAAAGCTGGGCACAACTGAATTAATAACTTTATTAACATTAACTTAGTAATTTTCTCTTTAATAGAATCGTAAAATACAAATCTTTCCTTTGCAAGCAGAAAACCCAACGCGACGATTACAAAGGCTTTCAGGGTACTGCTCGTGCTGGTGCGCGCCTCTGCCCAGCGCGGCCCTCCCGTCGCGCCCGTACCGGACGACCGAGCCGCGGACCGGAAGGCTCCGGGCTAAGGCC